GTGACCCATGCTTGACTGTGACTCATGCTTGACTGTGACCCATGCTTGACGGTGACCCATGCTTGACTGTGACCCATGCTTGAGGGTGACACATGCTTGACTGTGACCCATGCTTGACTGTGACCCAGGTTTGACAATGACCCATGCTTGACTGTGACCCATGCTTGACTATGACTCATGCTTGACTATGACTCATGCTTGACTGTATCCCATGTTGGACTGTGACTCATGCTTGACTGTGACCAATGCTTGACTATGACTCATGCTTGACTGTGACTCATGCTTGACTGTGACCCATGCTTGACTGTGACTCATGCTTGACGGTGACCCATGCTTGACTGTGACCCATGCTTGACTGTGACTCATGCTTGACTGTGACTCATGCTTGACTGTGACCCATGCTTGACTGTGACCCATGCTTTACTATGACTCATGCTTGACTGTGACCCATGCTTGATGTTGACTCATGCTTGACTGTATCCCATGTTTGACTGTGTCTCATGCTTGACTGACCCATGCTTGACTGTGACTCATGCTTGACTGTGACCCATGCTTGACTGTGACCCAGGTTTGACAATGACCCATGCTTGACTGTGACCCATGCTTGACTATGACTCATGCTTGACTATGACTCATGCTTGACTGTATCCCATGTTGGACTGTGACTCATGCTTGACTGTGACCAATGCTTGACTATGACTCATGCTTGACTGTGACTCATGCTTGACTGTGACCCATGCTTGACTGTGACCCATGCTTGACGGTGACCCATGCTTGACTGTGACCCATGCTTGACAATGACTCATGCTTGACTGTGACCCATGCTTGACTATGACTCATGCTTGACTGTATCCCATGTTGGACTGTGACTCATGCTTGACTGTGACTCATGCTTGACTGTGACCCATGCTTGACTATGACTCATGCTTGACGGTGACCCATGCTTGACTGTGACCCATGCTTGACTGTGACTCATGCTTGACTGTGACCCATGCTTGACTGTGACCCATGCTTTACTATGACTCATGCTTGACTGTGACCCATGCTTGATGTTGACTCATGCTTGACTGTATCCCATGTTTGACTGTGTCTCATGCTTGACTGACCCATGCTTGACTGTGACTCATGCTTGACTGTGACCAATGCTTGACTGTGACCCAGGTTTGACAATGACCCATGCTTGACTGTGACCCATGCTTGACTGTGACTCATGCTTGACTGTGACTCATGCTTGACTGTGACCCATGCTTGACTGTGACCCATGCTTTACTATGACTCATGCTTGACTGTGACCCATGCTCGATGTTGACTCATGCTTGACTGTATCCCATGTTTGACTGTGTCTCATGCTTGACTGACCCATGCTTGACTGTGACTCATGCTTGACTGTGACCCATGCTTGACTGTGACCCATGCTTGACTGACCCATGCTTGACTATGACCCATGTTTGACTGTGACCCATGCTTGACTGTGGCTCATGCTTGACTGTGACCCGTGCTTGACTCTGACTGTGGCCCATGCTTGACTGTGACCAATGCTTGACTGACCATGCTTGACTATGACCCATATTTGACTGTGGCCCATGCTTGACTGTGACCCATGCTTGACTGTTACCTTGACTGTGGCTCCTGCTTGACTGTAGCACATGCTTGACTCTGACCTTGACTGTGGCCCATGTATTACTGTGACCCATGCTTCACTGTGTCCCATGTTTGACTGTGACCCATGATTGACTGTGACCCATGATTGACTGTGACCCATGCTTGACTATGACCCATGTTTGACTGTGACCCTTGCTTGACTGACCCATGCTTGACTCTGACCTTGACTGTGACCCATGTTTGACTATGACCTTGACTTTGACCCATGTTTGACTATGACCTTGACTGTGACCCATGCTTGACTGACCCTAAGGCCAGTTTGATTGTGCTATCCCACTGAGATACCATGCCACAGTTTAACATTAACACCCAATCAGACACGTTTATTGTTTAACACTGCACTCAACAATATTCCAGCTATATGACGGCAATCTGTAAATAACCAAGTCTGGACTAGACAATCCAGTTATTGATATCATGAGCATTTATCCTCTAAATTGAGATACAATGACAGTCATGAACCAAGTTGGCGAGCCTGACCACATGATCCCATTAGGCACCTCTTATGACAAGCATAGTTGCCTCGACAAACATTGGTTGCTGAAAACCTATTCCAACCTTCACGGGTCACAGTATATTGACTCCCAAGCTGACAAGTCCTTGTTTTTTATCCCTTGTGCTAGGCAAGGCAACAAGTAGTATGATCTTGTAACGTCATTGGGACCGCCTCCGGGGTCTAGTGGTAGAGCATCCGCCAGGAGAGCGGAAGGTCCGGGGTTCCATCCTCGGCCGCGTCATACCAAAAGACGTTAAAAGATGGTACTTGTTGTTACCCTGTCTGGCGCTCGGCATTAAGGGGTTAAAGCAAGGACTGGTCGGCTCGGAGTCAGTATACTGTGTCTGAGTGGGGTATTCATGTTAAACTGCGGCATGGTATCTCAGTGGGCTAGCACTATAAATCGGCATCAGTCCGGTCTAGTACAAGCAGCCACACACACACACACACGTGCATGTACGTGGCTATATAAGTGCAATAATCTTGGACGCGACGTTAAACCCAATTTCACCTCACCTCACCTTTAACGTCATTGTGTAGCACCTCCAGGAGGACACAATCTACTACACCACAGATGTGATCTTGTGACAGTGTGCATGGCTGCTTGTTCATCTCATGACTTCTGCCATTTTTTAGTACTTTATTGCTAGCTCCAGTCCTTGTTTTGTCACATTAATGCAGAGTGACATCTTTTGACATCTTTCGGTAAGACTAGCCCGGGAATGGAACCACCGACCTTCCCCTCTCTCTCAACCAAGTCACACAAGATGACACACAAGATGACACACCACCAGCCAAGTCACACAAGATGACACACCACCAACCATGTCACACAAGATGACACACAAGATGACATCACCAGCCAAGTCACACAAGATGACAAACCACCAACCATGTCACACTGACACACCACCAACCATGTCACACAAGATGACACACCACCAACCATGTCACACAAGATGACACACAAGATGACATCACCAGCCAAGTCACACAAGATGACACACCACCAACCATGTCACACTGACACACCACCAACCATGTCACACAAGATGACACACCACCAGCCAAGTCACACAAGATGACACACCACCAACCAAGTCACACAAGATGACACACCACCAAGTCACACAAGATGACACACCACCAACCATGTCACATAAGATGACACACCACCAACCATGTCACACAAGATGACACACCACCAACCAAGTCACAAAAGATGACACACCACCAACCAAGTCACACCAGCTCAGACACAGTGTACTCACTCCAAGCCAACCAGTCATTGTTTTAGCCCCTTAATGCCAAGCGTCAGGCAGGGTAACAACAAGTACCATCTTTTATAGTTTTTCGAACCACCGACCTTCAACTCTCCCCCGGCAGATGCTCTATCTACTGGACCAAGGAGATGGTTGAATGAGTGAGTGAGTATGGTTTGACGCCGCTTTTAGCAATATTCCAGCAATATCACGGCTGGGGACACCAGAAATGGGCTTCACACATTGTACCCGGGTCTTCGGCGTGATGAGCGAACGCTTTAACCACTAGGCTACCCGACCGCCCGGAGATGGTTGAAAACTAATCCGAATAATGATGTTAATGCACATAGTAAAAAGCAAAAGTCTTTTAAACTAAATGTTTTCGTTGTGGGATTTCTTTTCACGCCTAAGCTATTTCATAACAACTAGCATGGGTTGCTGGTACCAATATAAACCCGGAATCCCAGTCAGTGGGACAGACGAGTGGATAAAGTGGGAGTTCCTCACGCCCATGTACAACTCACAGGATCTCAAGATCATATAATCAATCAAGGTGACAATAAGTCAGAGCTTTAGGCAGGGTAACAACAAGTACCATCTTAACATCTTTCGGTAAGACCACCGGAATCGCCCCACCGGCTTCCACTTTCTTGGTACTCTATACACAACAACACAGAGGTGGTCAGTCACATACAACAACAGACAATGAGAAGCGGTGCCTGCCTACTCTTTAATTCCAAAATAGCTCTGGTTACATAACTTCCAACAGCTGTGATGTAACATGAAAACCAACATAATTACATAAGTGTCTTAATTCTGACCTGACTGCAGTTGCCTCCCTTCAGCAGACTCCTGCAGTGTTATTCAGGTCAGTGCATCACTGTCATTTGCAATCTTAATTCTGATTTGACTGCAGTTACCTCCCTTCAGCAGAGACTCCTGCAGTGTTATTCAGGTCAATGCATCAGTGTCATTTGCACAGTTGAAAGTAAACCGTTGAAAGTAAACCTTTCTCAAGGAACAACCTTGAATGTCCACCAAGTCAATGTCACCTCCATTGAGTCCTTGCAACACTCTTGACCCACAGTCAAAAAATATTCAAAGGTTTCAATTCAAAATAATATGGAGGCTGTGTCGGTGCTTATGGCTTGCCATCCATTGCTGTCATTTTGGTGTTTTTCTTACTTTATTTCTGTGCTGAAGGGTTAAACAAAATATTACATACAGCAAGAAACTATCAACGTGAGGTGAAATGAGGTTCAAGATTGTTGCATTAATATAGCAACGTGTGTGTGTGTGTGTGTATGTGTGAGAGAGTGTCTGTGTGTCTGCTTGTACCAGTCTGGACTGATGCTGATTTTATAGTGCCAGCCCATGCCGCAGTTTAACATGAATACCCAACTCAGACACAGTATACTGACCCAACCAGTCCTTGTTTTAGCCCCTTAATGCCGAGCACAAGGCAGAGTAACAACAAGTACCATCTACTAACGTCTTTTGGTATAGGGGATCGAACCCCCGACCTTCTGCAGACACTCTACCTCTAGACTAGTCAGAAACTAGCAAGGAAGGTGTCAGTATTTCTATATATTTCTTACATTCTGTTCAAAATTCAACTTATCTGACAAATTTGTCCTGTTACAGTCAAGGAGTTTCAGTAATTTCAGACTATTAAATACCTATGGTAATGTGCCAAGACCAGTTAGATTTCTTGTTTTATTTGCCAAAAGGGAAAAAGAACATTAAAATCATAATTTCTTGAAAGCAACTTCCTCAATTTTGGAAGTATACAGTTGATGATTTGTGTATCAGAGGTACCAAATCACAATTACCACTACTGCTTATTTTTCTTCAGGGGTGCCCACGTCATGCTGGCTTTCAGAGTAGTTGTACAACAAACTCTCTGTGTCTGAGAGTAAGGCATATCAATGTCAAGTGAGGGAGTGAGGGAGTTGGGTTTGACGCCGCTTTGAACAGTATTCCAGTTATATCATGGCGGGGGAGCTTAAGGAGGGAGGAATGCCCGAAGTGATGCAGGTCTCAGACGTTTACCGCTTCGGTGAAACCCACGAGCACGGGTATGGTGCTGAAAAACCTAGAAACATAATCGGGGCGAACCGGGATTCGAACCCACAATCATAGGTTTCTGGTGTGCCCAAGCGACGCAACTCTGCAAAGCGAATCACGGCGCCTTAGACGACTGGGCCACCCATGCCCCCTAATGTAAAGAAATATTGTTCAAGCACATGATGTGCCATATTTGTTTTAAGGCTGTTATCAGTTTTCCTGAACTGAAATCAACAATCAAACAATGGACTAAACCCATGTCACTGCGCTCAATATTTTTACGAAGTTTGCATTTGGTTTCGTCACTGTTACATTGAGATAAAAAATTCTGTGTTTTCAATTTCAAGCCAGGTTACATGTAGATGTAGCCATGCTAAACCAAACACTTAAAACCTCAAGCAGCACGTTCAGTTCCCAATATAAATTTAGCATGGTTATGTCTACAGGTAACCTTGCTCTAAATTGAAAACACACTTTCTTCTCCGAAATATGTCAGTAAAGCATATGATCAAACTGCATATTTTATTGTATATTTTGCATCTTTGCAACATTCCGAGTGTGTGTGAGTGTGGGTCAAGGTCTACCAGGACGAGATGGAGACAACATAGCGAGGAAAAAAATCAAAATATTCATAGGAAAGCATGCTCCAAACGTAAAGCAACTTTCAAGCTGAAAGCAGTGCCAAGTGCTGAAAAATATAGTCGATAAAAACACTACATGAAAAGAGTAATTGTATATCGGGGTGGATGACACCAACCCCAAATATTTCAGCACATTTGGTTACATCTCAGAAATGTGACACAATCTTCTAAGACCTTTGTCAGTATTCAAATCAACCTTTTTGTCACCACAGCGTTCTTTTCACAACATGGTATTGTGTAAACAATTGCTGTGGTTTGTTTGAAAACATCGAGAAGTAATGAGAGTGACCTCCCTTTGATAAACATTGTTTTCAAACTGCACTTCTCTAACTTTCCTTCCTACTTGTAGATTTCTCTTCAGGTGTTGATAAAACTAACGTAAAGGTCTTTTGTGTCATTGTCATCTGGAATTACTCCATCAAAAATGAACAAACAGAAAGTTAAAAAATAACAATCATTCCCTTAAAAACACTGAAGGGAATTTTTTTTTTTTAGATTTTTTTCATACAACATAAAAATCCAGAAAATCCCTCAAAAAGTGGATAAATTTTGGTCTATCTGCCAAAATCATTCACAAGAGTCTAAACACATAGAAAAATTCTCATGAAGGAATTAATATATAAACTACTCGAAATATATGAGTGAAAAATTCCATTATGAGAGAAACAGGTCAGGTCTAAATCAAACCAACCTTTAAATATCTATCCATGTCAGTTGTCTTTGGCCCATGCACAAATTGGAACCATCAAATTCTCTGAAGAACTTTGATGTTTTTCCGATCATAATATGTAAGTAAGCCATTGTAATGACAGAGCATCACAACATGGTACTTAGCATCAACGACAGAAGCTTAACAGAAAAAACTGCGTGAAACGCATAGGCATGAAAAGACAAATATACAAAACATGAAAACATAATAATCAAAATATATAAACAAAATATTATCAATTAAGTTATAGGAATCCAGTATGTATAATATTCACAGTGGTAAGTCAGGTTTCAGCAAAGTTTTGATACTATATATTGTCAAACCTGGACTTGATAAACATGAATATTCATGACACAATTAGGGCCAGTCTCATTTCGACCTGAGGGGGGTCAGGCATATTCCAATCCAGGTACATTAAACCATAATGTTGAAATAAACATGTCACAGGTCTTTCTTTCAAGTTGATGAGCCCTGCTCAGGTGTATGAAATACTTCTACATTATATTACTGTGAGTATCAAGAGATTTACATAACATCTTTAAAATACTAACAAACCCCAAACTTGAATATACATATTGAATACAATTTAACACAACAAGTAGTAAGAAAAATAAAAAACTTTAACTTATCACAACTTAACTGAATATGATAATAAACAAGTGTCAAGCTTCAGTTTTCAAAAACATGCATAAATGTAGCCATGTTACTCATTTTTGACACAACTAATCATGTTTTCAACTATTCAATTCGTTTGAATAATATACAAATTTCTTATTTCTACGTTAAAAATTCATTTCATATTAGAAATAGTCTTAATTCTGTAGTAAAGTATACAGGACAATTATCATGATAATACAGTAAATATATAAAACTTTGCTGAATTCTGACTTCTTCCATTCAGTTCAGTTGTTGCAGCATCACATTTTGACACCCACGCCAAGACAGCATCATTGCCATCGTCATCCCAAACATCATCTCACCAAGGTCATCACAATCCAAGGTCATCACAATCCAAGGTCATCCTCAAGGTCATCCTCAAGGTCACCATTGTTCACGGTTGAGGCTTATGCCTGCTGCAGTGAGGGTGTACTGTAATTGATCAATGACACAGAGACCATCCTCGGCACACAGGGCTATTGAATTCCCATGGTGCTTAATCCGACAGATGAATCATGATTTGAATGATATTAGAGATAATTTGGAGGCAGCAGGCATTGCCTTAACCATGATGAATGGCAATGAGTGATATCTGACAAGGAAGATAACTAGTTTCCATTAGTTGCTTCTTGGTTGATATTGTTAGCCGAAGCGCTGTCCGACTTGGCCGCCTCCGAATCCGACGTTTTTTCCTCTGTTTCTTCAGATTTGATTTTGGACATCTACAAAAGATGAGGAAGTGAATGTTAGGTTTGCTGGTTGGTTAACGCCACAATATGCCAGTAATATGATGGCGGCACGTAAAGAATCGAGTCTGGATCAGACAATCCAGTGATTGAGATTGTGAGCAATGATCCATGACATCAGGGTTTAATGACGTGCAATCAACCAAGTCTCCATAGTCAGACAACTAAATCCATTCAGCTGCCTAATTCGACCTGGATAGGTTTTCAATTCACACCCAGAACCCCTACGGATATTACCAACTGTTTCAACCCAGTACATTAAACTATGTTTATAACAAACACCCTAATAACAAACTGATGGATATAATGAACTGTTTGGGGATCCCGTCCATATGCTGTATATATGCTTATAACAAACGACAGTTATAACGAATTAAAATTAGTGGTCCCTTGTTAGAACCGTAGTATACAGTATTTCCATGGTTACCCCTAACACATTAGCCGTGCTGACGACACCAACAACCTACCTTGACCTTGTTGTAGTGAGCTCTGATACCACAATGCTCAATCTTGGCTTCCTGTTCGGACAGGAAGAACTTTTTACACAGCGTACAGTAGAATCCTTCCACCCTCTGGATGTACATTTGTCCTGCAACATCAACATTCAACTAGTTACCATGGCAACCATGTGCAGAAAAACACTGAATTTCATGCAAGTAAGTTGAATCAAACATATCATGGTAACAATAATGATGCTTGAAACTTTGTTTTAAACCCGAAACGGTACAGAAGCTCATCTTTCTGGAGGGGAATATTTCTTTCTCATCTGGACATTTGTTGGTGAATGTGATCATCATAGTAATTCTCCATTCATATCTTGACAACTACTGAGACATTATAAAAAGTTCTCAAGCCAATGTTACTCTTTCTTATACTTCAGACGGGCCCCCTTTCTTTGCCTGAGTGGGGCAGTCGGGTAGCCTAGTGGTAAAAGCGTTCCCTCGTCACGCAGAAAACCCGGGTTCGATTCCCGACATGGGTACACTGTGTGAAGCCCATTTCTGGTGTCCCCCGCCGTGATATTGCTGGAATATTGCTGAAAGCGGGGTAAAATCAAACTCACTCACTCACTCTTTGCCTGAGTGAATTTTGTTTTACGTCACGGCCACCAATATGCCAGCTATGTATGAGTGAATGAGTAGTTGGGTGAGTGGTTGGGTGAGTGGGTGAGTGGGTGAGTGAGTGAGTGAGTGAGTGAGTGAGTGAGTGAGTGAGTGAGTGAGTGATCGAGTGGGTGGGTGGGTGAGTGAGTGAGTGAGTGAGTGATCGAGTGGGTGGGTTGGTGAGTGAGTGAGTGAGTGATCGAGTGGGTGGGTGAGTGAGTGAGTGAGTGAGTGATCGAGTGGGTGGGTGGGTGATCAAGTGGGTGGGTGGGTGGGTGAGTGAGTGATCGAGTGGGTGAGTGAGTGAGTGAGTGAGTGAGTGAGTGAGTGAGTGAGTGTGAGTGAGTGAGTGAGTGAGTGAGTGAGTGAGTGAGTGAGTGAGCGGTGTTCCATCTGTACCATAGCAGTGATGGGGCAAACCAGTGATTGAAAACATCACCAACATATCCATCAGAACACAATAAGAGTGGCGCAAGCTAACCAGCAACATATATAAGCCCAAATAGTGACAACACGTAAGGGTAACCTCTAAAAAGCCTGGATTTCTACTGGCCCTTTGGTTGCCTTTACAAGGAGACAAACTGACCTGAGCAGACTTGTGCCTGGGATCATCTCACCCAAGTCTGAACACCCAATCCCATTTAGAGGGGGGAGGGGGTCTGGGGGTGGCCACACTAACACCCCTTTTTCATCTAATGACATTATGTATGTTTGCAGATTGCCTACCATGATAACAGGTTGATTTGGTTCTTAAAGCAAAATTAATAACGGTTTACATAACACGTTTGGGATATTTTGGGTTGATTCTCCATCCTCCCTCCCCCTCTTCACTGCAAGTGGACCCCCCCTCTTTTTAAGATCCTGGATCCTCCCCTGACACGGTTTGCTGGATACCTATCTCCTAACCCAGGCATTTCCTGGAACAAAGTATTGGGAGGTCAAGTAACAGGTCTACATCTTCTTTCACTCACCTAGGGGTGTCCCTTCTTCAAAAGCAGGGAAAGTAGCCTGCAAAACAAGAACAACCGTACTTAACAATAGCAAAAAAAACATAATACTGCATCTGTAAACAACAGTCTGATGTGATTGGAAATATCTTTCTTTGGGTTTTGGATCGGTTTGGACACTGAGTGTTGCTCAAATTTCCAGAAGAATGTTTTCCAAATTGGCAATGACATAAAAGAGCACTGAATCAGAAATTGATAAAATCATGGAAATGTTCTAGAATGGCCTCATGCAATTTGTCTTCAGCAAAATCACAGCAATATGAGAATGTTATCCATCAAATTATATGTGTAATTCACTCACATGAAAAAAGTGCCAAGGCACTGAAGCTCACCTCGAAAGACAGACACTTAAAACAAGCTGCTGTTGGCTACGCAATTATATTCTGCATAAATACTGAGGATGAACATATTACGAAATATGAAGCAAGTAACCATGATAACAATGTTTCTAAATTTGCAAGAATGAATCGACTCTTGCAGAACAATGTTGCAATACACAACTGTTCAATTTACTTTACACAAAGTTCCAACTCGAAGTTAATCCTCATAAATCTTCCAAGGAGAATACTTTTTCCAATTGGTTCACAAAGTGAGTGAGTGAGTGAGTTGGGTTTAACGCCGCTTTGAACAGTATTCCAGTTATATCGCCGCATGTCAGCTTAATGTGGGAGGAAAGCCCGAAGTGATGCAGGTCTCAGACGTTTACCACTTCGGTGAAACCCACGAGCACGGATATGGTGCTGACAAACCTAGAAACATAATCGGGGCGAACCGGGATTCAAACCCACAATCATAGGTTTCTGGTGTGCCCAAAGGACGGAACTCTGCACAGCGAATCGCGGCGCCTTAGACGACTGGGCCACCCGTGCCCCCCTGTTTCACAAAGACACAGGAAAATCCCAATATATGGAACAAAGATGATGTCATAAGGAGAGCTACACATACCAACGTTCATTTCCTCAGTCTCGCAATTTCAGAGAAATGATGAGAATTACAGTACATTCTGAGGAGAAATGACTGAGCAGCAGGTAGTAATAATACAAGTTTTATAGTACCAGCCCCCTGAGATACCATGTAACAGTTTAACATGATTCCCCACTCAGACACAGTATCCTGACTCCAAGCCGACCAGTCCTTGTTTTTGCCCCTTAATGCCTTGAGCCAGGCAGGGAAACAACAAGTACAATCTTTTAGGATGGAACCACTGACTTTCAGCTCTCCGGGCAGACTCTATCCACTAGACCACGGAGACATTCACGGCCACTTTGGCAAATACATCATATACAGTAGCCACCTGATTCTCATATTAGATCACCCCCCCCATAACCCCATAATCCGTGTAGGTATTCAAAATTGGTTTCACACAGAATTACAGGTTGAAGGTGCGGGTCTTACTTCATCGGTACATTTCTCAATCTCCGCCTCCAACTTCTCCCTAGCAGACTCCGCGTTCTGTAAATAAAATACAAACAGATAAACACCTGTACCAGCAAATCAAATCAATACTTCTTGGAAGTTATTGTCCAGAGAGCTATCTGACAGTCACATGTCATGAGGTGAACACAAAGTACCCACGTGGGGAATTGAAACCAGGTCTTCGGTGTGCCGACCAAACGCTTTACCCACTGGACTACCCCAACGCTCCACCTGGACAGTGAGTGGAAATTGGCTTCACACAAACTTCCCATGTGGGGAATTTAAACCAGGTCTTCGGCGTGCCGACCAAACGCTTTACCCACTAGACTACTCCACCGCTCCACCTGGACAGTGTGTGGAAATTGGCTTCACACAAAGTACCCATGTGGGGAATTTAAACCAGGTCTTCGGCGTGCCGACCAAACGCTTTACCCACTAGACTACCCCACCGCTCCATCTGGACAGTGTGTGGAAATTGGCTTCACACAAAGTACCCATGTGGGGAATTTAAACCAGGTCTTCGGCGTGCCGACCAAACGCTTTACCCACTAGACTATCCCACCGCTCCACCTGGACAGTGAGTGGAAATTGGCTTCACACAAACTTCCCATGTGGGGAATTTAAACCAGGTCTTCGGCGTGCCGACCAAACGCTTTATCCACTAGACTACTCCAACGCTCCACCTGGACAGTGTGTGGAAATTGGCTTCACACAAACTACCCATGTGGGGAATTTAAACCAGGTCTTCGGCGTGCCGACCAAACGCTTTATCCACTAGACTACTCCAACGCTCCACCTGGACAGTGTGTGGAAATTGGCTTCACACAAAGTACCCATGTGGGGAATTGAAACCAGGTCTTCTGCGTGCCGACCGAACGTTTTACCCACTGGACTACCCCACCGCTCCACCTGGACAGTGAGTGGAAATTGGCTTCACACAAAGTACCCATGTGGGGAGTTTAAACTAGGTCTTTGGTGGCCGACCAAACGCTTTACCCACTCAACTACCCCACCGCTCCACCTGGACAGTGAGTGGAAATTGGCTTCACACAGAGTACCCATGTGGGGAATTTAAACCAGGTCTTCAGCTTGCCGACCAAACGCTTTACCCACTAGACTACCCCACCGCTCCACCTGGACAGTGAGTGATTGAGTTGGGTGTGGTGCCCCCAAAGAAGACTACTTCAGTTGTATCACGGCATGTCATCTCAATATGTGAACTGTGGCAAATACCTGTTTGTGTTCTTCAAGCTGCCTGTGTTCCTTGAACTCGGTGAAGTTTTTAAAGGCTCCTGTTTTGCAGCATCCACAACCGGCCTTCACCTGTCTCATCCGGTTCTGGGGGACAGAAGCCAGTATATTCCAGTCAAGAGTCAAAATAGCAGGAGTACACTCTTATTACAGGTAATCCAAATTGAATATACTGATCAGTTTACAGTGTAACAATAACAATATATATTGTAGAGTTATATAATTACATTATGTTGGGAATGTAGGGGTTCAATAGCTCTAAAAAACTAAACATCAGTACTCAGCACAGTAACACCAATACCAACAATGTTGGTTGGTTGATATGTTGGTTAGTCGATTTGTTGTTTAACACCGCACTCAGCAATATTCCAGCTAGATGACGGCGGTCTGTAAATAATCGAGTCTGGACCAGACAATCCAGTGATTAATATCATGAGCATCGATCCACGCAATTTGGATCGATGACATGCATTAACCAAGTCGGCGAGCCTGACCACCCGATCCCGTTACTCGCCTCTTACGACAAGCATAGTCGCCTTTTACAGCAAGCATGGGTTGCTGAATACCTATTCTACCACGGATCTTCACGGGTCACCAACAATGTAACATGTTGCTTACTTTGTGTTGGTTTTGGTTCTTGTGGTCTGAGTAGGGGACAGGGAGGTCGATATCACAGATAATGCATTGCCTGCAACAAAAAACATACAGTAGCGAACATATAGGTAAAAATGGATAGAATTATCATAAAAGACTGTCATTCGATAATGCCATCATTATCAATCGTACATCATATGATGGCATTTAACTAATTTGCATCAAAATTGAAGCAAACTTTGATTCTGACTGAATTGGTGAGGCTCTACGTCTTACAGGTGTCAGGTGGATGTACTCACAGGTGTCAGGTGGATGTACTCACAGGTGTCAGGTGGATCTACTCACAGGTGTCAGGTGGATGTACTCACAGGTGTCAGGGTGGATCTACTCACAGGTGTCAGGTGGATGTACTCACAGGTGTCAGGGTGGATGTACTCACAGGTGTCAGGGTGGATGTACTCACAGGTGTCAGGGTGGATGTACTCACAGGTGTCAGGGTGGATGTACTCACAGGTGTCAGGTGGATGTACTCACAGGTGTCAGGGTGGATCTACTCACAGGTGTCAGGTGGATGTACTCACAGGTGTCAGGTGGATGTACTCACAGGTGTCAGGGTGGCAGGTGGATGTACTCACAGGTGTCAGGTCGATGTACTCACAGGTGTCAGGGTGGATCTACTCACAGGTGTCAGGTGGATGTACTCACAGGTGTCAGGTGGATGTACTCACAGGTGTCAGGGTGGATGTACTCACAGGTGTCAGGGTGGATCTACTCACAGGTGTCAGGGTGGATCTACTCACAGGTGTCAGGTGGATCTACTCACAGGTGTCAGGGTGGATGTACTCAGGTGTCAGGGTGGATCTACTCACAGGTGTCAGGGTGGATCTACTCACAGGTGTCAGGCTGGATCTACTCACAGGTGTCAGGGTGGATCTACTCACAGGTGTCAGGTGGATCTACTCACAGGTGTCAGGCTGAATCTACTCACAGGTGTCAGGTGGATCTACTCACAGGTGTCAGGTGGATCTACTCACAGGTGTCAGGGTGGATCTACTCACAGGTGTCAGGTGGATCTACTCACAGGTGTCAGGGTGGATGTACTCAGGTGTCGGGGGATCTACTCACAGGTGTCAGGGTGGATCTACTCACAGGTGTCAGGGTGGATCTACTCACAGGTGTCAGGGTGGATCTACTCACAGGTGTCAGGTGGATCTACTCACAGGTGTCAGGCTGAATCTACTCACAGGTGTCAGGTGGATCTACTCACAGGTGTCAGGTGGATCTACTCACAGGTGTCAGGGTGGATCTACTCACAGGTGTCAGGTGGATGTACTCACAGGTGTCAGGTGGATCTACTCACAGGTGTCAGGGTGGATCTACTCACAGGTGTCAGGCTGGATCTACTCACATGAGTTTCTTCTCCTTCTCCCTCAACGCCTTCACCTCGGCAATCTTGTCCAGGATGGGCTGAGCTTGGTGTTTGGGCAGACGGTTGACTTCCTCCATCCGCTGCAGGTGCTTGTGTCCCTTATTGTGGTTCTTACGGTCCTGAAACATTAACGTACATACAACCTAAACAGAGCCTCTTTGCAAAACAGTTTATTTATACAGTTTATGGATTCCAAAGAGCAGGCTGCAAATGCATTTCTGAGAGACAGAATAAATCCTTTATACCCCGCTTCAAAGCAAAAGGCAGCACGCTTTTTCCGAGCCAATGGATGTCACCGGACATAGCACAAGCTAACATCAGCTCAATCGAGAAGCTGTTTTCTATCAATATGGAATATATTTGAATTATTTCGCAATATCATGTTGGTAAGATAAATTGTGGTATAAAACCTAATGCCGGACGCATAAAACCCCATGTACCCCTCGTGATCCTGCTACAACTCATAATATGACATGTGTCCAGTGTGAATAAAGAGTGTCTTTGGCAAAAAGTTGTTATCACCAGTTTATGGATTAACACCCAAAAATTAGAAGTGGAAACAAATCAGGAAATATTTCATTCCCCTCATGCAAACTTACGTGCTCATTACAAAAGAAACGGTGCAAACACTATGTTAAAATTGCCGCTGGTGAATGTTTTATTTTTCTGACAGTAAGATTGCATAAGTGAGGGAGTGGACGTCATTTAACACTGTCTGGGCACACTCACAATCTGGTCCCAAACTGCAACCAGACTAGTCACCTCTTACAACAAGGATGGGAATCTCCAAATGGAGACAAGCATGGGATACTAGGGACCTACTCGGCCCTGGAATCCCCACATTGAGACAAGCATGGGATACCAGGGACCTACTCGGCCCTGGAATCTCCAAATGGAGACAAGCACGGGATACTAGGGACCTACACTTCCCCGGAATTCCCACATGGAGACAAGCATGGGATACTGGGAACCTACTCTGCTCTGGAATCCCCACATGGAGACAAGCATGGGATACTGTGGACCTGTTCTGCCCTAGAATCCCCACATGGAGACAAGCATGGGATACTGTGGACCTGTTCTGCCCTAGAATCCCCACATGGAGACAAGCATGGAATACTGGGGACCTATTCTGCCCTAGAATCCCCACATGGAGACAAGCATGGAATACTGTGGACCTGTTCTGCCCTAGTCCCCACATGGAGACAAGCATGGGATACTGGGGACCTATTCTGCCCTAGAATCCCCACATGGAGGCAAGCATGGGATACTGTGGACCTGTTCTGCCCTAGAATCCCCACATGGAGACAAGCATGGGTTACTAGGGACCTATTCTGCCCTAGAATCCCCACATGGAGACAAGCATGGGATACTGGAGACCTACTCTGCTCTGGAATGCCCACATGGAGACAAGCATGGGTTACTAGGACCTACTCTGCCCAGGAATCCCCACATGGAGACAAGCATGGGTTACCGTGGACCTGTTCTGCCCTAGAATCCCCACATTGAGACAAGCATGGGTTACTAGGGACCTACTCTGCTCTGGAATCCCCACATGGAGACAAGCATGGGTTACTGGGGACCTACTCTGCTCTGGAATCCCCACATGGAGACAAGCATGGGTTACTAGGGACCTACTCTGCTCTGGAATCCCCACATGGAGACAAGCATGGGTTACTAGGACCTACTCTGCCCTGGAATCCCCACATGGAGACAAGCATGGGATACTGGGGACCTACTCTGCTCTGGAATCCCCACATGGAGACAAGCATGGGATACCGTGGACCTGTTCTGCCCTAGAATCCCCACATGGGGAAGCATGGGATACTGGGGACCTATTCTGCTCTGGAATCCCCACATGGAGACAAACATGGGAAACCAGGGACCTACTCTGCTCTGGAATGCCCACATGGAGACAAGCATGGGTTACTAGGACCTACTCTGCCCAGGAATCCCCACATGGAGACAAGCATGGGTTACCGTGGACCTGTTCTGCCCTAGAATCCCCACATTGAGACAAGCATGGGTTACTAGGGACCTACTCTGCTCTGGAATCCCCACATGGAGACAAGCATGGGTTACTGGGGACCTACTCTGCTCTGGAATCCCCACATGGAGACAAGCATGGGTTACTAGGGACCTACTCTGCTCTGGAATCCCCACATGGAGACAAGCATGGGTTACTAGGACCTACTCTGCCCTGGAATCCCCACATGGAGACAAGCATGGGATACTGGGGACCTACTCTGCTCTGGAATCCCCACATGGAGACAAGCATGGGATACCGTGGACCTGTTCTGCCCTAGAATCCCCACATGGGGAAGCATGGGATACTGGGGACCTATTCTGCTCTGGAATCCCCACATGGAGACAAGCATGGGTTACTAGGGACCTATTCTGCTCTGGAATCCCCACATGGAGACAAGCATGGGAAACCAGTGACCTACTCTGCTCTGGAATCCCCACATGGAGACAAGCATGGGATACTGGGGACCTATTCTGCTCTGGAATCCCCACATGGAGACAAGCATGGGAAACCAGGGACCTACTCTGCTCTGGAATCCCCACATGGAGACAAGCATTGGAAACCAGGGACCTACTCTGCTCTGGAATCTCCACATGGAGACAAGCATGGGATACTGGGGACCTACTCTGCTCCGGAATCCCAACATGGAGACAAGCATGGGTTACTAGGGACCTACTCTGCTCTGGAATCCCCACAGGGAGACAAGCACAGGATACTGGGGACCTACCCTGCTCTGGAATCCCCACATGGAGACAAGCACAGGATACTGGGGACCTACCCTGCTCTGGAATCCCCACATGGAGACAAGCACAGGATACTGGGGACCTACCATGCTCTGGAATCCCCACATGGAGACAAGCACAGGATACTTGGGACCTACTCTGCTCTGGAATCCCCACATTGAGACAAGCACGGTATACTGGAGACCTACTCTGCCCTGGAATCCCCACAGGGAGACAAGAATGGGATACTGGAGAACTGTTCTGCCCTGGAATCCTCACAGGAAAAACAGAATTGGAGACCTACTATGCTCTGGACACCTGGGTACCTTCAGGTTTGGGGGAACAGGGCCAAGGTGAAGGTCATGGCTATACTTTGTCCGACAGTGACAGGAATGAGTCCTTGACACTAAGCACTACTTACGGCATTGTTCGTGCACTGGTATTTACAGGCATGGCAGTAGAAAGTGTAATTGTCTTCATACTGCCCCTGAAACAACACGAAACTAATGTGAGTGAGCAAGTTAGAGTTTACTGCCACTTAGGAATGTTAATAATCAAGTTAATAAGAATGAAATTAGGGGTGTCATTGATTGTTAAGTTTAGTATTGATATACCGACTGAAAAGTATCATGACATATCGATATATTGATTAAAAACAAAATGAGTTATTCTGTATGTGTATAGATAAAACAAATCCTATCTAGACCTGCAGTTAATTAACTAATGATCAATATAAACTGGGCTGATCCGTTAAATGAATAAAATTGAATTTTCTGCCTTCTGATTGTCCGTCTTTACCATGGTAATAATAACAAATGTACACGTTTCCGTGTCAGTCAATTATTACCGTATTCGACGTAATAAGCACTCCGCTCTAATAAGCGCCCACAGTGACATTTGCTGATATATTGGCTGGTGAACAATCCCAATTAGCACCCCTTCCCTTCCCAATGTACACAAGACTAATTTATTCGCTTATAATACGCACTCGTGTGCTATATGCACCCTTAATTATGTGCAAAAAAATTCTGGAAAAATATATCTGTCGTACATAAACATTTCAGGCCGTCAGCATAACCATGAAATTTATCTTTCAACTCTGTTTTTTTCACCAAAATAATATTCTAATAAGAGCCCCCTATTTCTAATTTTGAGAGTGCCCTGGGCGCTTATTACGTCGAATACGGTAGTTCAATATCAATATTCATAAATTGGAATTGACACATACATATGACAATAGATGATGACATCCCTAAGTGAAATAGTTCTAGCCTTATACTCTTTTTAGCTTCTCTTCCCAGTGAAATACAAGACACTGTTGCAAGACTCCAACACACTAGCGGTAACGATGACCTGAAGTAAGACATTTTTAGTTCCTGCCGCAAACCTAGGGCCAAATATCAGCGGATGATAACAGACAGTACTGGTGTCCATACAAATTTTCTGCATCCCAGTGGATCTCCATTTTTTTTGTGCATCTGTTTTAAAATTTTATGACGAGCACATGATGCAGGATTTCGAGTCCAGTAAATCCCTATACGCTGAGATATACTCGGAACAGTGGCAGGCAATATGAGTAACATAAACAGAGCGGTCAAATCTCTTACTACCATACAGCAGCACCGACCCCATCCCTTCCTTGGAATTCATTAGGTCACACCCTAAGGGAGCATCTGTTTCACTTCCGGGGGGTGGGGGAGATTAGTTTAAATGAGTAGTTAGTTCAGAAATATGCCTAAAATGAACAGTTTGTTGGTAATAGTGAAAGACAGGAACAGTTTGTTGGTAATGGTGAAAGACATGAATAGTTTGTTGGTAATGGTGAAAGACATGAATAGTTTGTTGGTAATGGTGAAAGACATGAATAGTTTGTTGGTAATGGTGAAAGACATGAATAGTTTGTTGGTAATGGTGAAAGACATGAACAGTTTGTTGGTAATGGTGAAAGACATGAACAGTTTGTTGGTAATGGTGAAAGACATGAATAGTTTGTTGGTAATGGTGAAAGACATGAACAGTTTGTTGGTAATGGTGAAAGACATGAACAGTTTGTTGGTAATGGTGAAAGACATGAATAGTTTGTTGGTAATGGTGAAAGACATGAACAGTTTGTTGGTTGGAAAATACACAAACTTTGTGTTAATGGTAAAATTGCATAGATTGTTTGATGGTACTCAATTTGTTGGTTACAGCTGGGTAAAAACTAGACTGCTCTCCAAAACAAGTGCCAACCTACCGGCTCAATGTTGACTGGTGTCTTGACTGGATACCCAGACTTGCCTAGAAACAGAAAACACATTGGAGTAAGTGAGTGAGGTTTGAACACCGCTTTGAACAGTATTCCAGTTGTATCACAGTGTGTCAGCTTAACGTGGGAGGAAAGCACGAAATGATTCAGGTCACAGATGTTTACCTCTTTGGTGAAACCCACTAACACAAAATATATTTGAGAGTTGGTATTTTCATGACAGTATGAACTGGACATAAAAACCAACAAGCACTTGCTATCTTTTCCATGTTAGGTTTGGATAAGGGGAAACCTTCCATTTTTCCTTTCTGTTATCAATGTTATGACTTATAGTGCTACCCTACTGAGATACAACGCCACATTTTAATACGAATACCCCACCAGAATACGGATTCAAAGGCGACCAGTCCTTACTTTATCATCTTAATGCCGAGCACCAGGGTAACCATGGTAACAATATTCACCATCTTTTAACTACTTTCGGTATGACACAGCCAGGGATCAAACCACCAACATTCCACTCTCCACCGAGTCCCAATACTGTCGCTCAACTATATCATGGTATATAGAGGATGCACTCACCTTTCTTCACTTGCCTTTGTTGCTGAAAACAAAAGCAGTAAGGACTATTGGCATGAACAGAGCATCCAGGGACATATCTAAGCAAAATAAGCATCAATTATCTTGTTCAAAATTGGCATTTTTATAAGTTCTCACTTTTAAATTCACAAGTATTTTGACAATGTATTTTAACATAACATTGATTTCAATGATGTTTGTTGGGAGTTACCAGTGAAGTCAACTCTACAAAGCCACTGAGTGAGTGAGTGAGTATGGTTTTACGCCGCTTTTAGCAATATTCCAGCAATATCATGGCCGCGGACACCAGAAATGGGCTTCACACATTGTACCCATGTCAGGAATCGAACCCGGGTCTTCGGCGTGACAAGCCAAAGCTTTAACCACTGGTCAAGCGACCGCCCCTACAAAGCCAGTGGATTAGTTATAACTATACAGTTTGGAATCCAGGATAAATTCTGAGGCAGGTAGAGAGCTGCTTTGTTTTTCACTGAAACCATTAAATGGTAAGGAATGGACAGACAAGCTGAAAAGTTGGTACTCTCCAATTCAAAACAATATCTTCCTCAAGATCTGACATGACAAATCCTCGATTGAAATTCGCACCAGCTGAACTTTCATATCAGCCAATAATCATGGTGGCTTCTAAATTCTAGGTACACTCAACCTTACTTGATTTTTGTATCATGAAAACAAAAAGTAAACAGGCAGTTTCGAATGGAGAACAATAAAGGCTGTGCTATGTTGTTCATTATTTCCGTTCTGTTTGCCATGGCATTTACTCCTGTAAGGTTTTCCTATCCAAAGAACACTATGCTTGTGTTTTTTTTATATTTTGTTCAGACCGAAGTGGCCAATCTTGGGACAGAGGAGAAAATATACTACTCAAAAGAAGTTAAGGACCACCTTATTCTTTCATATTACTATAGTTAATACATCATGGCATGCCAGATTAACTGCAGTAATATGAAAGAATCAAGTGGTCCTTAACTTCTTTTGGATAGTATATATGGCTCAATAACCCAACCATCCTTACCTTGGACTGGGCAGTTGAAGTTCTCTCTGGGTTCCCGGAGAGAGGCAACGAATCAGAGGAAAAGACTTGATTTCAATGAGCTTGATACAACTCTCTTTAGTCAAGAGCTATTTTGTAGGGAGACAGGTTAGCCAAAACAAAGATGTTTGCTTATTGCGACCTTAAAGTATTTGTCAAATAATATGGCAGAATGTTGATTTGAATTCTTATTGGTGAAGTAACCTCAGGCTGAAAATGATCAACCAGTTTTAACAAACACTGGGCCACGTAATCCAAACAGCTCAGTGGCAGGTCATTCGTCTGATGACAAAGGACCATCCTTACCCAAACCATGGGGAGACAACTCAAACATGGGGAGACAACTCACCGCGCCAGGCTGCCTGTTCTGGTTGCCACCTCTCTGTCCCCCTCTTCCTCTTCCGCGACCAAATCCTTGCATCCCATAATTCATTCCTGGGTATCCCATGTCCATATATGGATAATCGTGATGATATCCATAATCATCATATCCACCGTAGCTCCCATAATTCCCTCCATACTTGCCAGGCCCGGGGTATCCTGGCAGTGACAAATTGTCCAACCCGACTTGTTCGGATAGTTTTTCTATCACATCACTTTGTCTCTTCAAAAGCTGTAGAAGCTGGGACTCCTGTTGTCTGTCCAGGCCTGGGGAACCGTAGCCTCCCCCTCCGTATCCCCCATCATTATAGTATCCCCCACCGTATCCCGAGGCCTGGGCGCCAATGTTTGTCCCAGGGGGGTAATACTGTCCAAGAATGCCCCTCCCCCTTCCTTGTCTGTTCCCCCCAGACATGCTGCGTGGGTTTAACATCTTTGGTCAAAATCTGAAATAATTTTCAAAAAATAAGTTTCGTAACAAATATTCACCACTTTAAACTACACAAGTACTGAACCTTAAAATAACACCACAGTGAATGAACTATCATGGTATAACATTTATACTAAGTTATCCTATAATAATTAGATCCACATCAAGTGCTTTTAGGAGTTATCATGGTGTATTATTTATACATCATTTCATATAAGTATTACTTGCTAAACTATAATTATATGAAATGATGTATAAATAATACACCATGATAACTCCTACAAGCACTTGATGTGGATCTAATTAGGGTAACGCTATTTTTCAGGGCATTATCATTTGCAGAAGCCCGAGGTCTTCCATTTAACTGCCCGACGAAGGAGGACCGAGAAAAGACCGAGGGCTTCTGCAAATGATAATGCCCTGAAAAATAGTGTTACCGCTATTATAGCTAAAATGGATGGATTTTGGTATCAAATAAAAAGAAACAACAATATCGATTTTGAAACATTGACTGCAATCAACACGAACCCACTGACCAACTTTTACAAATATGGAAACGTCATAGAACAAACCAGATGAAGTCACTATTGAACGTGACGTCACCTATCCCTATCCTATGACGTCACCTAACAACGGGCGTGATAAGGGCCCGTCGTCAAGCAATGTGAGGGCATTATCAAGTTACAGTGGCCCGCTCATTTCTGATAACATGCGGGCAGTTTAATGATAATTCTATCCATTTTAGCTATAATATAGGATAACTTAGTATAAATGTTATACCATCAGGGTTCGAAATTAAGGGACGCTAAGACGCAAAATGCGTCTTAATTTATGATTTTGCGTCTATAAATCAAAATAAAGACGATATTTTTTGCTTCTTGCTTTTTCCCCGTTTAACAATTGGTTGAGAAATACCTAAGTTTCTAAATTCACTGTGATAACATTTAAATTCGCGAAGATTTTCCTTGATTTGTTTACCTCCAATTTAGAGTTACCTCCCCATTCGCGTTTCCGGGAAAACCTTTTACTTCTTTTCAACTTTCGTGAACGCGGACTATTCCGAGCTCTTTTTGACCAATGAACATATAGCACGGAGCTTAATATTATGCAAATGACGTTTGTCTATTTTCGGGAGACCAATCAAATGCCGTAAAAACTATGTCATCGGTAATTTATTCCATTGACCCAAGGTCGTTTCTTATTTTAAGATGACATGCCATCCTCGAATACCAGACGACACCCGTAGGCCGGTTGACTGACGAAGCCGTAGTCACGTCAAAATAGTATATAATTTTATTAACCTACCTGTCCTATGATTCATTTATTTAATCTATCACATTTCACAATGTCTGAAATACGTATTCCATTTCAATTTATCATTTCTTATCGATGAATTAAAAAACTATTCACTATTCCCGCAATGTTTTTGAAAATAAAATCTCGAAAACACTTTTCGACAACAGGTCCACAGCGAACATGTCAAAGAGCAATGTAAAGACTTTTCAAGCTATATATTATACAAAGTAATAGATAAAATTTTATAAATATATCTTAAAGTTGTCAGACTTACATTTAAGTTATTATTTCCATCTTTTCGTGCGATCGCGTGTAATGTAAGTCAAATGACATCTCGGCTTTCGTCGTCTCAATTTCCTCGGTTCGGAGACGATGTTTAATGCAAAAATATAAGCATGAAAAATCTTTGTCACAGCTCGTAACCTGGCACGATACATCTATGAAGTTCCATATTTTTAATATAGATCGCAATTTCCTGCTTAAACCTTTTAGAATAACACGATTTAACAAAAGTCTTTCGTCAAATTCTGAAATTTATCAGATCATAGATGTAATTTGATTGGCCGACTTAGGTCACGTGCTCAGATTTGACCAGTCACGAACCTTGTAGCAGATTTTGGCAAAGACAGAGTCATTAGAAACCAATTTTATCAAAGCTTTCTAGCGATGTGTCACATGGCAGTCTTCGACGACCGTGTTATATGAAAACGGAGGTATCTCTTCATGTTACTGAACGAACAGCCGCTGTTATCGGGAAATGGGTGATGGCAGATACCAGATCTATTTACAATTATTTTTAAAATATTTTTTTCCAATTGTGTTTTTTATGAAATCTTATAGATTCTGTTTGCGAAAATCGTCAATTTTGCGCTTCCTTGGTCCTTAATCTGGACGTTATGAATGTGTTAGCTTACATTTTCTTTCTTTATTTACAACGAACATAATTAAGTTGTAAATGCATTATCTAAATAATGTGATAAACATAACATATTTTATAAACAACAGGATTGGAACTTGAAATGGTGTATAATATGTGCTAGCAAAGATGTTTTACAAACATGCAGATATTTTCTTTGATAAATGTTTTATGAGTGTAATTTAATTACTTTGTTATCTGAATGTCATAACATGCATAATCAGCCATTATTTATATGCAGCATAAATCACGATCATGCAATCTTGTGATATATATTTTGAAGTTTTGAGTTGAGAAAAAATAATTGCTTGTTGATTTTTGATTTTGCTTGTAACTTTTAAAACCACAAGCAAAAATTTGCTTGTGCCTAAAAAAATTAAATTCTAACCCTGACCATGATAGAACTATCACTATATGACATCCCAAAGTGTTTGTTGGTTTGTTGTTTAACCCCACACTCAAAAATATTACAGCTAGATATGACGGCGGTCTGTAAATAATCAAGTCTGGACCAGACAATCCAGTGATTGAGCATGATGACAAGCAAAAAAACAAGTCACTGATTTGTTGGGGTGTTGGACTTATTCATACACTGAATCCACTCAGTTGGCTATAAAATATTTATTGAAGGATAACATTTATCCAAAGATAATGAAATGGTGTGAGCAATATGACCAAATAGGTTATAACAACAGCTCTTTAGCATGTTAAGTCGACACTCTGGTGCACCTGGGATTTACATTCAGAAAGGTAGGATCCAACTTTGCTTGTTACACAACTCCAAATAATAGACTTGATTTTTTATATACCATTTAGTCTCTATTCTAACAGGGACCGCCTCTTTGATCTAGTGGTAGAGCGTCCGCATCATACCAAACGATGTTCAGAGCTCGAGATAAGCTTTTGGTGTTGTGGGTATTTTACCCATGCATTTTAAAATCATTGGGTATCAGTAATTCTATCTGCGTATTCAAATTTCTGTTACCCACTAGGTTTTACACATGTGGGTATTTAAGTTAAATATTTAAAAACACTATTCATCTAGTCCAAGCAAACTGGTGTCGTGTGGGTTCGAGAGCTTTATAGGACTAAAAAATACCACGATACTTCCACAAGAAAGTGTGCTGGCAAATGATCATGATGTAACTGTCATAATGGAGTTTGGCAAGATGACGGAATGCCCATTATAATTTCAAAATAAGTTGCTGATTTGCTAATCTAATACGCAGGGTTACTTCACAATATTTTGATGATATGCACAAGTTTTATTTTTGTAGCGTATCTGTAATGTTCGTAACGTATTTGATACGCTTGGACTTTATTTTACGGCGTATTTCTGCATTTCTGATGCATATTTTACGCGGATACGCAGCCCATCTGGAGCTCTGATGTTAAAAGATGGTACTTGTTGTTACCCTGTCTAGCGCTCAGCATTAAGGGGCTAAAACAAGGACTGCTCGCCTCGGAGTCAGTATACTTCGTCTCAGTTGGGTATTCATGTTAAACTGCGGCATATGGCAATCTCATTAAAATCAGTTCTGAGATCTGAGGACATCCCATTACGGGTCACGTCAGAACGAACTTTCGCGAATTTTGACCGACCAATGAAATGACTGACAAGAAATCGACATTAGCCAATCAGAAGGCAGCTTTCTCGAGCTTTACGACACTAGTTTGAAACTGGCGACTACGCTTCGAAACATATTTTGACGTGTTCTCGACTAAAAAAATTAAAATTGATAAGAAGAACATTCTGGAATGGCTTATAGATGGCCTAGATTGTATGGATATAATCATAAAACCCGTAACTGTCGTTCGGAATACCCTGTGTTAAATATTTCGTGGTTGCATGATTAGAAAATACATTCCGACTGTCACTTTCATGATCTGGTAAGCGACGCTCTGATTGGTTGGATGACCCTTAATGGGATGTCCTCAGATCTTTGTTTAGCGGTAGCGAGAACTAAGATCTGATTTTAATGAGATTGGACTAGTACAAGCAACCACACACACATGTGCATGCACGTCGGTATATAAGTGCAATAATCTTGGATGCGAAGTCAAAACCAAAGACGTTTGTTAAAACCCATTTTACCTGATCTCACCTATTCTAACAGTAATCAGCTGTGAAAGTATCAATTCATAGAACAATATCAGCAAATGGCCACCATCAGCACATAGTGTTCTGTGACATGAGGCTGAGAGTTTATAACAACTATCTTTGAATACTGACTTTTCATGAATAATCAATAACATATTCCAAGGCAATTAACAAATTAACATTTGTGGAGGAGGAAATTGAAAACTAAATTTGTATTTGTCCAATTCGGGAATAAAGCAATTAGTCGTACAAAATGTGTAATACTTCAAACACTGTCTATTTATTCACCATTTGATAACGCATTACCTGGAATGTAATTTAGAGTTATCTACCCTTGACTTCACGTGACGATGCCGGTTGCAAATGTTTTGCAATCCAGTTTCTATTCTATCAAAATACTACATTTCTGTCCAATTGTCAATTATCAACAACCAGATATTGCTCCTATTACAATTACTGAGTAACGTATTCGACAATGAAAACAGTGCGCGAGATACAAGGTGCAAACATTTCACGTTCTCTGATACCGGCACATGTAACTAGCCGAGTACTAGTAGGCCTAGTAGCCGGTTCTCCTTGTAAAGAACATTGCAGACGGAAACGGAGGTGTTTCGGTTGTGTGAAATGATTTAATTAAATGTATATGTAGCAGTACAATAACAAAATATCAGTCATCATGCTTGTCAAATAAGAAAAATATACCAACAAAGGCTCCACCCCAAACAGTCGGAAAAATGGAAGTGAAATGTTGCACACGACTCTCAAACGGAAGTTAATATTCGAGGCCCATTACAGGATCTAGGGAAGCACGAGGCCTTTTTAGGTGCATTGTTTTTGTTTAGTTGGTCGCACTGTACAGCTTTTTTGAGAGCACACAGCCTTGCCATATCTAACCATTACACTTAGCGTGCATAAAATGTCCTCATTACCCACGAATTAAAGATAGATCTAGAATGACTGTCGCTGCGTGGTATAATTATACAGCAATTTAAAATATAATGTCTACACCCATGTGTGCAAGAGTATGGGTAAATTATGCTATCTATACTTTAGGGGGGGATTTCGGGGGATATTTTGGGTTGGGGGGTTGCATGTTGTAACCACTCGGTTTAAATTGGTTCTTTCAACAGCATGGGAAACCGCATCCCTCTCCAAAAGCCGTGTACAAGGTGGCAAAAGACTGATTGTTTATTGCTTGTCCCCTTACGCCGATGTCACAGATCATTGTTAATGCCTTCAGTCACTGGTTTTCTTGCTGTAAAAGGCGACTTTGCTTGTCGTAAGAGGCGCCTAACGGGACCGGTTGGTCAGACTGGGTGACTTGGTTGATGAATGTCATCGTATCCCAAATGCGTAGAATAGGAAATGCCGTATAGGAATACTGCTGAATGCGACATTAAACATCAAATAAACAATACCTGCTCTAGACTCCATAACTACAGTGATATGACTGAAATATTGCTGACTACATGTTGTGTTTAATAATATAACCCAGGAGGGTAGAAAGATCGAGTGTTATCTCTCCATTGTAGCTGCAATGGATAGAATTATCATTAAACCGCCGGCATGTTATCAGAAAGGTCACTGTAACTTGATAATGCCCTCATATTGCTTGACGACGGGCCATTATCACGCCCGTTGTTAGGTGACGTCATAGGATAGGGAAAGGTGACGTCACGTTCAATAGTGACGTCATCTGGTTTGTTCTATGACGTTTACATATTTGTAAGTTAAAGTTACCATACACGTAGGCGAGACATTGTTCCAGTTACAGCAAGGTTCGGCTCGGCCTTTGATTGACGTGCGAAAGGTCCGAGTGGCGGAGTCGAGGGTGTGGTAACTGACTTGTAGCACTGATAGCGAGTGGTGATAGAAATATAGAATACTAAACGAGCTCCCGTGTAATACCAATTTTATGAAACGAGTTTCATAAAATTGGTTTTACACGGGAGCGAGTTTAGTATTTTATTTATTACTTGCAATTTATAACGTTTTTTTAATTATACTGTTGAGTATGAATAGGCTGACACCTACATGATCCACGACATAGTCAAATTGAGTTTAACAGAATAATACTTCAAACACGTCAAAAGTTGAAACGTATGAATTTCATACCATGCAACGGGTCTACCTTTAGAATTCACAAAATTATCGTAGGGCTAAGACTTTCGCATCTCACATACTTTAACTTAGACCAACGACTGTCGTTGCGCTACAATACGATCGTCTTGTGGAACGGGCCTTGCAACTCAAAGTTTTCAATAACGTCACAAAACCCGATGACGTAATTTGTGGAATTTTGATGCAAGATCCATCGGCGAAACAATGCCATGTGACGTCAGCCTAACAACAAGGTTGCTGGGGTCATCGAGTGTGCATAAGCTCCTCTCAGTGATCTATCAACTCCACACGCAATGTCGTTGAATAAGCCAAGGGATGTTGAGAGCTTTCAATATTTGTTCGTGAATCGTGTTCCGAGAGTACATAAGCAAGCGTTTTGGTATTACACAATGTGTAATAAAGCTATATGTTTATTAAACGGGTGATCACTAGGCGGGGCTTGCTGGTGTAGCGGCAGCCATTTGGGAGCAGGCCTCGCTGAATATGACAAGTGATTGTACAGTTTTATAATGGGTGTGTAATGCATTGAACCTTGACAACATTATTTGAAACCTGGACTACCTTGTTCATTATTTCATTTATCGTTCATAAAAAAAACTTCTTCATTTACTTGAGAAGAATAAACACTTGATTTCTCAATTCCTCTTGTCTTGTTTACAGTGTTCAACTTGTTACTTTAGTTCCATAACATTGTTGCAACTTCTGCAATACAATGTTGTATCTTTGTGTACATTTCACTGGGCGGGGCTTGCTGTTGTAACGGCAGCCAATGGGGAACAGGCCTTGCTGAACAAGGCACAGCCGTCTGCACTCTCCTACCCAGAGTTCCATGCGACTGACTGACTGACTGACTGAGTATGGTTTTACGCCGTTTTTAGCAATATTCCAGCAATATCACGGCGGGGGACACCAGAAATGGGTTTCACACATGGTACCCATGTCGGGAATCGAACCCGGGTCTTCGGCGTGACGAGCGAACGCTTTAACCACTAGGCTACCCGACCGCCCAGTTCCATGCGACCGGCAGCCAGCTAGCATAGTACCTCTGCCACAGGCCAGCGCCATGTGACGATTCGTCACATCTTTCACAGTCCATTCAAGATATTGTATATGCTTTTGATCCGTTTCATGTTTGACAAGTCTACACATTTTCATAAACAAATGTCAAAGAATGGTTAACTTTCATTTAGAAAGTATGCAAATACGTAAAAATCTACTTGTTTTTGCGTAGTTATCCTATGTTTACATTGGTTGTACGGCTCCACGTGCTGTCATCGAAGCCCAACGGAGAGCTAGCGATACGGTCACTTTGATGCATAAATATATATTGTCATGCAACTCACTGTCGCAGTTGTAGTAGCATATCTATATAGTTATGCAAAACAATATGTAAAGCGCCCCCAAATACTTGCATTAGTCCATTCTATACTGATTTCTGAAAAAGCGCGTTTGTTTACAAACAAGAGAAAAGTCTGGTCACGTGATATGCAAATTAGCCTGTGGCAGTGGTGTTATGCTGAGTCACCACTGCGACGGAGTGTGAGCCGTCTGGAGCTAGCAGGATACAGCACGGCTAAGATCAAAGGGACCGCTCGCTATCAGTGCTACAAAAGTGGGTTAGTGACATTCGTGTTGATTGCAGTAAATGTGTCAAAACCGATAATGTTGTTTCTTTTAATTTGATAACCAAATACATCCATTTTAGCTATATTAACGGTAACGCTCTTTTTCAGGGCATTTTCATTTGCAGAAGCCCTCGGTCTTTTCATCTGTCCTCCTTCGTCGGGCAGTTAATGTAAGACCTCGGGCTTCTGCAAATGATAATGCCCTGAAAAATAGCGTTACCCTTATAATATCTGCCCATGAATTTTAGCGATTTTCAATAATTGTTCAGTTCAGAGCTATGACGTCACAAAGCGTTATTGTTGAGAACAATTCTATATGACGTCAACATTGGCGTCAACATCGATTAATATACGTCATCTGATAACTTCAGTGTCTTCTTCGGTTTTCTTCAGTTTCGGGAAATGGTGTCTGTGTGTGTGTGCGTGCACAAAAATCGGAGAATAATCTGCGTTTGTAAGCCAAATATTAATCAATTCATTGTTATTTTTCTTCAAATCATGTCACCAAATGCTTTAGTTGTATGTTGTTGTTTTATTCAACAACCTGACTATGCATAAAATGGAGGTGGGAGGGCTGTTGGATAATGTTTCAAGATCAGAGTTGTCCCTCCGTATTCCACAGATGTTGGTTTACGGTCTCATTTCAGATTCAAAGGACAAGTGATGGGCGTGCGTGCGTGCGTGCGTGCGTACGTGGTTGTGTCTGTGTGTGCGTACACGCATGTGTGCGTCCATATGTGTGAACGTGCGTATATGCTAGTATATAAGATAGCTAGCTATACGTGATAAATCGCAAAGAACAATGAAGAACGAACAATGGTTTATTTCACGACAAAACATTGTTCTCTCATGACGTCATTTCTGGAGATTCGAACATGCGCTCGCAACTTGATGACGTCGTATATTGGACGACGTTATCTTTGAGAGGGAAGTTTCTTATGAGTTGTTCCCCATAGATTTAGCTTGGCAACGTAGAAAACGCAGTGGCCGTACGATTGATTCCTAAAGTAGGAGATATGACAATTGGTATTGGGAGAAAAGGTACAGATAATCGACGCGAGGATTGTGAAAATATACGGGGAAATACCAATACCCAACCCACCTGTTCAGAAAATGGACTTGTCCGACATAGCCGAGGTCGGATTCTATTCAGGGAGTCATCATCATTACGTGAAAACATTTTTCAAGCTTGTTGATATCAAATATCGTATCCCATGTTCTATTGTACAATTACAACCACCACGAGTCGTTTATTTCTTATATGAGATATCAACAGAATGTACAGCCTCTTAAGGATGATGATAAAAATGTACAAACTGCGCCCCTCGTGATTTATTCTACCTGCAGTGTTTTATTTAAGAAAAATATATGATAGCTACGCAATAAATCGCAAAGAACAATGAAGAACGAAGCGTGGTTTATTTCACGATAAAACATTTTTCTACCATGACGTCATTTCTGGAGATTCGAACATGCGCTCGCAACTTGACGTCATAAATTGGACGACATTGTTTTTTGGGAGGGAAGTGTCTAGTGAGTTGTTCCCGATAGATGTGGATGGACAGCGCAAATTAACGCAATAACCGAACCATCGCACCCAAAAGTTGGAGAGATATGACAATCGGTATTGGAAGAAAAGGTGTAAATAATAGACGTGAAAATTGTGAAAATACCAAAGTTAACCCCCCTGTACATAAAATGGAGTTGTCCCGACATCGGATATTTAGAGATAGGTACAAACTGTCCGATTTGGAAACGTTTGACCGTAGCCCTGGCAATGTATTTAGATACATGTGTAAAACGATCCGGTCATGCATACACTGAAGTTTACTGCATAAAGTTTTATCTTTATTCAAACATATACAAGTCAGAAGGAATGGGTGCATTGTCAGAAAGAAATGGGAACATTAGTGACTTGTAATGTAACCATAGAGTTTTAGATATTTTTTTGTCATTTAACAATATATATAACTAACCACGGGTCCGGGTAGTCCTGTGGGTACCCGAGTCC